TAGAGAAACTACAATAAAATTTTCAAACCAACATCAACGATACAGCTGGCGACTAAGTCAAGCATGTATAAAGTGCATGGATAACGTACTCCATAGTTTGTTTACTTCATAAACAAACTAAACTTCATTGTAATTCAAGGTTTTGTTCTTTTTTGTACTCCTAATTTTCGAACTGGATGTTTGATGGCTTACTGAGCAGAGGGCTTGCCATGGCATACTGGCTTCAAAAAATTATCATGTTTATGTGTACACGAGCTTATGTACCCACGCATTTATGTATACATGTATACATGAACTCGGACACTTTCTAAAAGTAGAAGCAGAAGGCAACCAATGCAAGTAAATATACATGAAGCTAGCTGAAAAAATAACAGGATATCCACAGAGTGAATGACAACGAGTGTGGTGTTGCGTCCACCAGTCCGTCCGTGCTTCCATCTGTCCGTTCGTTGTTGCTTCCGTCTGTCTGTGCGTCCGTCCGTGTGTCCATTCGTTCGTCTGTCTGTCTGTCTGTCTGTCTGTCTGTCTGTCTGTCTGTCTGTCTGTCTGTCTGTCTGTTCGTCTGTGCGTCCGTCCGTCTGTTCGTCTGTGCGTCCGTCCGTCTGTGCGTCTGTGCGTCCGTCCGTCTGTCCGTCTGTCCGTGTGTCCGTCTGTGCGTCCGTGCGTCTGTGCGTCCGTCCGTCTGTGCGTCTGTCCGTCTGTGCGTCCGTCCGTGTGTGCGTCTGTCCGTCTGTGCGTCTGTGCGTCTGTCCGTCTGTGCGTCTGTCCGTGTGTCCGTCTGTCCCTCTGTCCGTGCGTCCGTCCGTGTGTCCGTCCGTCTGTGCGTCCGTCCGTGTGTCCGTCTGTCTGTCCGTCCGTCCGTCCGTGCATCCGTCCGTCCGTCTGTCTGTCTGTCTGTCTGTCTGTCTGTCTGTCTGTCTGTCTGTCTGTCTGTCTGTCTGTTGAACACTTCAAGTATCACCATCTCGTATCTTTTCATCATATATTCATACACAAGAACTGCCAACTAGCAAACATTCCAAGGACTAAACGAAAGGTGGCTACTTACCACTAATACTACTACTACTATTGCATACATCGGGGACGCATGACTTACAGCTTTAGGGGCTTCGCTCCTAACACAAGACACCAATGTGTTCTGGGCGCGAAGCAGAAATGAACGAAGATGTAGAAGAGAATGTGGAGAGGGCGTGAAGGTTCAAGATAATCATCATTTATGTTTCCAACAGACAAATCACAGTGAACTTGAGCATTTTCGCTCTTAATATGAGAAAAAGGTGAAGGAAAAAGAAAGCAGGAAATGAGCAATAAATGCACTGGCACGTGCGTATCAGCTGCACTACACAATTGTCGAAGGCGTTCGTACGGGCCAGTTTGGAGTGGGTGCAAAACTTTATTGGTGTATGGCGATACGCATGTTAGCGTACAGTGGGCGACTCCCACGTCGGGACCGCCAGGCCAAGCCTGTCAGTCATTCCGCGGACCTGCTGGACGGCCCAGAGTTCGTCGTACAGGAGGGAGCTGTGGATGGCCGTCTCCCACCTGGGCGCAGTAGTTTAGTGTGCATTGCCTTACACTCTCAGAGCATGTCTACAAGCGTGGATTCGTTTTAGCATGCATGGAAAGCGTCACTGAGGAACACCCCGGGATAAATGGCGTGAAGAAAGCTCAGATTTAGGGTACGTCTCCGTCTGTAATAGTCCGAGAGTGAGGGTCTGAGGTCAATAGTCCTAAGAAATTGGCGAAGCTGGCACGAGGCTCCGCAAGGCTCGACACAACGAGAGTGAACAATCATTAAGACTACTCTGGTTGCTCTCACGTTACTTTTAGGCCTGATCTAAGTGATTCAGGCTCTATGCTGCTTTTATGGGTTGTTGCTAGGTAGGCGGTGCTAGCTTGTTTCTACGTTGGTTCTCAGCGCAGAGAAGTCCGCGGGTTAAACTACAGTCGCTTACAGACACGCAAGGCTGCCCAAACTCTCGAGACAAAAATTCGCGCTGAAACCAAGCGTTTGCGCCTCTCATAAATCTACGGGCACGTCGTATAGACGACGTAGTTCCTCCATCGCTTCGGGGTCTTCCCACAACCGCTGGGTGGCGCAGGTTGTTTCTAGGTTGCTTCTATAGGTCCTTTCTAAGGTTTAGTTAGGCGTTGCTAGGTTTTTTCCTACGTTGATTCTCAGTGCAGAGCTTAGAGTTAAACACCAGACAGTCACAGACTCTGCATGAATGTCCAAACTGCAGAGACAGAACCTTGCGCTAAAACCAAGCATTTGCACCTCTCTAGTTGGCATAAGCCTCCCATCGCTTCGGCGTCTCCTTGCAGCCGCTGCTGCCTCTCCTGTTCCCCAGTATTATATCGTTTTGGGGGTCTTAGACTCGCATCTGCCGCTTAGCAGCCATTTGGTCGGTTGGTTGGTCCATAAAGTGCGGCGCAACTCACCCCGGGGGATCGGCCATCGAATGTACGGTATCTTATTCTCGAAATAAAATTGTTTTACCAGCCGAATGCACCAAGATATGATTGTATAAAAAACCGAATGCATTAAGATATGAATCTATAAAAAAACCAAGAACACATTGGTAAAACATGGATGAAAAATAGAATAAAGGAAATGGAAAAACAGACCCTATTATGCCAATACGGTTGAGCAAAAATTGAATTTATGCTTATAAGCTCGACATTTTATTAATTTTCTTTTCTTCCGGAAATCCCATACAACCTCGCGAAAGTTCCTGTGGTTTATTACAAAGCCCTTTTTTAGTAGCACCAAAGGAAAGTAGGTGATTCTTCAATGAAAAAAAGATAAAAGTGAGCCCTGTAACTGTCTCTCAAGGGGAGGGCACCTCAAAACTAGCTCACGAGGGGTGGTGGGAAGGAGGGATCAAAAGGATAGGATTAAAAGGTATAGAGATAGAGGGAGCGGAAGGAGAGAGCGAGGCGCAGGGACAGCCACATACGGAAGTAAGGAGAAGATAAGAAAGATGGACACGGTCGCAGGAGTCTGAGGACGGGGCACCACTCGGCGAGAGCTCTTGTCGGCGTCAGAAGAGCTCTTGTCGGCGAGCCAGTCGGCCAGAGCTGTGCTGTCGTCGAAGATCGCGGGGGCACAATCAGTTGGCCCGAAATCCAGCGAGCGAGTCACTCCACCATTATTTGTTGGGCTAACCGTTGCCTTCAGCGGCGAGAGTTAACCCAAGTTCTGTGGGATATACTGCTTCATGATGATGATAGTTTTTGAGTTCGCCGAACGAGCAACGATTTCCTAAAGAACTTCATTTTAAACAGGACAAAAGGGCTTTAACTTCAAGCCTTTCATGGGCCGACGAGCGATGAGGACGGTGCTCTGGCATCTGCGTGGACAGCCACCGATTATCAAATCATCGCAACGCATCAGAAAGTATTCGTATTTCAGAGGCCAATCGCGGGGAGGGAAGCGACATCTGAGCATATGGTCTATTACCTCACATGCAGCATTATCGGTCACTCCAATTACAGGTTGTGTACGTCAAGCGTTCGAGGGCGCTTAATAAGGAAGAAACTATAGCTTATTGACAAGCACAACCTTAATTAAACGCTCTTATGACGAAATAGCCGGCACCCGCGGTGAGTACAGACAAAAGAAAGTAGTAGGAACATGTGGTGGAGCTACTAATCTCGTAAAATCATATGCCTCTTCGAGGATAACTCACACCCCTCGTCAGTCTTGCTGGAGACAATTTATCAACAAACTGTGAGGTTGACCTCGCCTTTCCAAGGACTGCAACGCAAGACGGCGTCCTTAACGCCTAAAAATAATGCCCGAAAAGCTTGAGGCAAGTTAGATTACGCTTATGTGCTAGGAAAATAAAACCACCACGCTATTTCAGTGTTAGCAGTGTGCCTTTTCCTCAGACGCAAGTTTCGCTTCACGGGAACATTTCATTCGTAATCTTACATCGACAAGTATATGCAAATAGAACTCATGATCTTGCGTCAACGTGAAACCACCAAGCGAAAGAAAGAAAGAAAGAGAGAGAGAGAGAAAATGTATGTGCCTGTGTGATGCCGACACGTGATAAAGAGATAAAATCCATGGCATCGAGTCGGAGGTAAAGACGGAGCCTTATCCGTGCATCTCCCAACCGAACCGCTGCCCTTCGTCCCTTGTTGCGGACGCCCAGCGAGTTATACTTCACCCACCCCATGAAACATACCACCGACAGAAAAAAGTTTGCGAAACAGTCACGCACCATCGAGCGCAAAATCCCCCTCTGGACGTTTGGAAAACACAACTTCTCGAGTTGCGTGGCCTGGCTTTTAGGCGTCAGTGTAGATCGGAAAAGTCCCTGAGGGGGCCTTTTTCGTCTCGCTCCTTGTCTTTTGTTTAAACTCACTCTCCGTCACTACTCATCAAGTCGGCGAGACCGTGAGGGTCAAAGCGAACGCCCCCCTTCGAACCGGTTAACCTTCGTTCCACGCCGGGTTCGCTCGTCCTGTGATTCCTACAAACGACTCGCTCGCGACGGCTGCAGCAGGCCCCCGGACCGCTCTTTACAACCGCTCTCTCACAATATGCCTTCTGGCTCTATTTCTGCACCGTGTACGACTCCCGATTCCGATCGCTTCGCTGACACACGTTCCGATCGCTCGCCACGCAACGGATATGACGTCGGTGCGCCGATGCTTCGCTCCTCCGACACTTGAGAGGCAGAAGAGCTCCTGTGTATCGGTTTGGTGGCGATATACGCGTGACGGTAGCCGGCCTTACGCACAGCTATCATAAAGAGGGGAAGGGTAGACGGCAAGACGGGAAAGGAGGGCGAGGCCTTCCGTAGCGGAAGTCTGCTGGTCGACGGTGACGCTACAGGGCCCTCGCTCGCGGCGTTATTATTACGGCGCGTAGAGAAAGGAGGTCCAAGGTTGCCACTGCGCGTACAAAGGCAGCCACGGGCGAGAAGTAATAAAGATGAAAGACACAAATCAAAGGCGGCGAGAGTCCCGACGCAAAAAGAAAAAAAAAAGAAAACGAGGAGGATTACTCGAGCGGCAGCGCGTCGCATGTACGAAAGGGAAAGCCCGCCCAGCCACCGTTGCAGTTCGCCAAGTGTCAGAGTGCGCGGAACGCAGGTTGTGCTGAGAGACCAGGTATCGGAGTAGTGGTCATTCGGAGATCCAACCGGCACGCGGACTTGGACACATCGTCTTCACCCGGCTCACACACTTGCGCTGGACCGTTTCTCGCTTCCGTGGGTGATCTTGTGAATCGAACAGCCATGCCGTACATGCTGGAGAACGACGTGTTCGGAGAAGAGAAGAACTGGGCCCAGGTGACGCCGGAACAGATTCGCGAGCTGCGTCAACACTTTTTGGACACCTGGAACGAGGAAGATGGTGAGCGCAAGCGTTGATCTAAGCGCTGATATTTGTTGTACATGTGCGCGTTCTGCACCATCCTTTTGAAACATGTTTCTTTTCGGAGGTCGTCGGAAGGTGCAGCATTCTTAAAGGCTAGATGATTTGTAACTGATATGCAGCTACATGCAGTTGGAGTGAAAGAAATGAACCGACAAGAACTAATCTCTCGCAGAAACTAAACGAATGTCTTGATAAATTCTGCGAGCTGCAAATATTTCATTACTGATCATTTAAAATTAACGTTATATTCTTTAACTCGTAGCAGTTTATTGTCATTAACCGAGAAAGCGCAATGTAACGATCCACCCATCACCAATAATTGGTATTGAGTATGAGCCATTAATTTGACGTCAAGAGCAACAACAAATGGTGAATTGCATGATACTTTATGTGTCAATGTTTCATGTGACAGGCTGTGCCTTGTCATTTATCAGTGCCCATTAGGAAGTCAAGCCGATACGCATAAATAATCCTTGCGGAATTCGGATTCGCTGAGGTATATTTGGAGAGGAATGATACATCGATGTATTCAACAAGTGGATGGTACAAAAAATAGGCTAACAGCCAAAATTGAACATATACGAGATAAAAAAGAGACACAAGGGACTACGTGACACGTAACTACATCCAGATACAATGCAGCATGTTCGTTCACAAAAACAGTCATGCTAGAATGTGTTACGTACTATAGTCTTGAATTTTCAAACGCCCCTCCGCGGTGGTGTAGTGGCTAAGGTACTCGACTGCTGACCTGCGGGTTGCAGGATTGAATCTCGTCTGCGGCGGCTGCATTTCTGATGGAGGCGGAAATGTTGTAGGCCCGTGTGCTCAGATTTGGGTGCACGTTAAAGAGCCCCAGGTGGTCGAAATGTCCGGAGCCCTCCACTACGGCGTCTCTCATAATCATATGGTAGTTTTGGGACGTTAAACCCCACATATCAATCAATAAATTGAAATTTTAAACGTGAGCGTTTGAAGACGCAGGTACATCAAGAAGAAATGCAATTTTGGTGGTGAAGATATAGAAAACAGACTGTGTAGAAGCATGGGATTAAAGCTTTGGATGTATAGAATGAATTTTTATAATCTTGCGAATCACTTTTGAGGAACAGCGTGGCTTGGCGATGACAGCTTTAGGACAGCCAAAACAGGTTGTGGTTGTTAACTATGAGACTCGGATATTGTCATGACTGTTGCATGTTGTAATGACCACGACGATGGCATCCTACTGAGAACGTTCTACCAAAACCTCTTTGATATATTTTGCCGGAAAGTCCTACAATAACATACGTGTCAGATATTGAAGACTCGAGCAAACCGACGGATATTCAGTTTTCCCTAAAGAGAATTATCCTGCATTACCTCATGATGCAGTGCACACTGAATAATGAATTATCTCGTGTTCGTGACATATCATCCTTGAGAGACTCGTTTTTATGTCGTTCAGAACAAGCATGTGGCAGCGGAATACGTGGAGTGGTTGCTTAAACTGCACCGTGAACAGAAAGTAAAAGCCGCTTACACCGCTAAACAAAATAAGTCATCATGAACGTACTTCAACCTGAAGTCGGGAAGAGGTGTTTGACAGCTGGCTTACTGCCATGTACGTACCTATTCCTGTGGCACTTTTTCCGCAGCTACAAGCATAATCCGACTTGTCTCTTCTTGTCCGTAGTTATCCGTGCTAACTTCCTTTTGCTTTCTTTTTCCCTAACACTTGCGTGCTCAATGCTGTCAGGATGAATGTGCTTGTACAACTGTTGAATCTTTTTTTTTCTACCTACAAGGAAACGATGTAACTATCCCGACGAAAAAAATTGGAGTGAGTCGCATTTTGCGCCAAAGGTGATAGGAGTAAGTACATTCCACAGCGGTATACCTTACCGTGTAGATATGAAGTTTCGATTCGCAACAGCGGTGTACAAGCGAAATAACGTCCTTCATCGTTTTTGATGACATTAATTGTTTTACAGGGCACACAATACTGCGTGACACTGAACCCGTATTGGACTCGCTATACCAATAACCATGCACACTTTTCGAGCACATAAAATATGTTCACTCTCTTTCAGCATCCTTCTGTCAGGAGTGTGATGAGTCAGTATTTGGAAATGTGCCGTACGTTGTGTATTGTGCCTAACGTGCCGGCGCAAATCGTTGTCTTGACCTCATGTTCACCAGCCTCCTCACTACTTGAATACATCAGCCTCACTACGTTTGAGTACCGAAACGTCCTGCACGGGAAACGTTGTGACAGCGTGTCATTTACCTATCACTGGGGCGCAAAAGCATCCATCGCATTTAAGTTATCGCAGCCTGCAGCCTTCCCTAATGATGTAGCGGAATAGTAAATTTAGACCAAGTATCGTAATTTGAATGTGTATGTTTCAGCATTAGGGAGCAGGAGGCACCTTAGCCTAACTTCATCCTTTTCCCTCCTCTTCATCTGCTGACAAAAACACCCTTAAGAAGGGCAATAAGAAAGAGCTTACTCCGACAGACTGTATGATGTACTTCCCGTGTAACGTGAATTTTAACCAACTACGTTTGCGACATTTGCAGCACTAAGCAAAGGAACTATAGCCATTTGACGCAGCTGTACGCACAGCCAGCTTTGTCAAAGCTCTTTCCCCATAATTTCAACTAAAGTGTGTGAGCCTCAATGCGCTGCCTACAAAAGAATAAATGTTGTAGGACAGCATTTGTTTTTAGATGTGCAGATACAGCGGCAAACGACATTAGTGAAAAGTTAAAGAGATCACGAGACCGGGGAATCAATGCGGAGTTTTCGTGCACATCGGAGCACACTGGCACGTACGAGAGGTACGAAGCCGCTCGTATAGGGCCACCACGCAAGCGGATGAACTTGAGTATTCGTGGAGTGCCTCCGCACTTCAATTGGTCACCAAATCTGGTGAACCTCAGTCTCTACGTTTAAAAAAAAAAGAATTGGGCGAAGGCTCTACTAGCAGAGAACTGACGCATTGATTACGTTCTCGTAAAAATAAAAAAAAGAGACGATGAATAAACAGATTCTATTACAAGCTACTCCGCCAGTTCTGTTAAGCGACAAGTGACTCGCCAGCAAGAGACGTTTTTGAGTAAAGTCATGGCCAGTGCAGCATACTCATCACATGTACTTAACAAATGGATCGGAGCCCAAGAAGCAGCTGCAAACATTGCTCTTCGATGCTCACACTGTCAGGAATTATGCATAGCATGTCCACATAACCTCATTAAGAGTTCCTAATTTTTCTCACAAGAAAGAACGAACATACCAGCACCTGATAAATGTGCTACAATGTAGCGAATTTTCGCGAATTATGCTTGTATAAGTGGCCTGTTTCGAGTGGTGCAGACACAGTCGGAAATTTTGTGCGAGAGCGACTCTCTGAACATTTGCTGAAGACGAATGCAACCTAACGCATACGATCAATTAACAAGAGCAGACACTAGTTTAATATAAGGACGCTGTTTACTCAACAACTCATTCTCCATCTAATTCCAAACAGCGGCCTACAGCCATGCTCTTCCACGAGATAAATGTTCGGTTGCATTGTCGTCCCTTCCCATTCAGTAGAGGGACAATATGCACGCACCAGCCCCAACGACGTACTGACGCACCACCCCCTGTTTTAGGAGGCGAAAGGCTTCAAAATGTCTCGCAAATGCGATACTCTGTACTTCGGTAGAATCAACGCATCACTGAAATGTTGTGAACAGCCACATTCTCGCCAGTGACCGGCTAAACGCACTGGTTTTCGTTCAGCTAGCAATCTTTTGTGGTAGCTTAGCCTCATATTTAGGCGCCCTCCGGATTGCCCTACATGTATTCGTCCTCAGGAAATTGAAATCTGTATGTATATGCGAACAGAATATATATATATATATATATATATATATATATATATATATATATATATATATATATATATATATATATATATATATATATATATATATATATATATATATATATATATATATATATATATATATATATATATATATATATATATATTCCAGCTGAAGCCACCGCAGCATTTCTAAAAGACACAGTTTGTCTCGCAAGAAAAAGAATGCAAATGAAAAAAAAATCAAGTCATTCAACCAATCCCGACATCTCAGGTAGCCCTTCGCAATGCACATTCACGCGTGTTATCAAGATAAACGGACGTGCAGGTCCTGGAAAGAGCCAAGGCCGGCAAAGTGTTCCGAGAAAGCGTTCCTCGTCCAAGCAGTACGTGCGCATAACGCGTGTTTATACGCCGCAAGATGTCATTTAAAGGGCGCTCTCTCAGTCCGGCGTGAGGCGTCTCCCTCTGCTGTAATTCGGCGTGCGTTAGTTTGTCTCCAGTGTGTGCGAATGCGAGTTAGGAGACGTTTCGGGTCAGGGAGAGCGAAGCGACGGCCGCTCTCAAATAGGGACAAGGTTGACGAAACGTCACCGCGATGGCTCCGCTATTATTTTTTCCTTTTTGTGTGCTTCTGCATGAGCGAGCCTCTATGGTACGTAAAGACATACGGACACACCTATTCAAGCTGGTACGACTGTTTGCGAGTCGTCGAATTTGTCCGCGTTGTTGAAAATGACGCTTGACTGACTTCCCCCAGCCTGCTACGACAGCTCTTGAGATACAAAAGAAAGAAAGAAATTACTGGGTGTCCATCACGTATACGCAGCTGCAGCCAGTGATTCCGTTATACTCGTTGAAGTGGCGAGTCCTTGACCAAAAAGCTGGGGCGTGAAGTCTCGCTGCGGCTTTCCTTTACTAAACAATACTCCAAGGTTCGCGACGGACCGTGCTCGCGTGCCGTACATTGTGGAAGCTTGCGAAAAATATGTCACGACCCTGTTCACGCGCGGGCAACTGTTTAAGCACTGTGATGATTGCCAGGCCGACCTTAAGTTAGACGCAGCTCCGCAGCAGTTGTACAACTTCAAGGCCTAGTTCTGCTCTACTGACGCATTTGAATGAGGAAATAGTTCATTAGATTGCTATGCAGATAAGAAAGAACTACTTTTTTTTAACTTTGATGTCTATTTTCGCGTAGTATGCATATGTATGCCAATGTACTCTAAAAACTTTAGAGCTGCAGCCCAGTGCAAGTAACTCTTTAACTCACTCGTCGCATTCTGGTTGCTCATTTAATGAGCAGTAATAATAATTAGTTATTGCATATGTGTGAGCATTCCGTCTGAGATAATGAGACCTTAATTTCCATTTATTCCTATAGTTCATTCCTTCAAATGCTGCACATCGCTGTTTTTGAACCAAGTGCGGCCACTCACTTGTAGAACGCCTCATTACATAATATCACTTGGGTATTGACAATGAACTTTAGCGAAAATCAGTCTTTTTTGTTGCCCTAAATGCTAAGCAATAAAATATATTGAATAAATGTTAACGAAAACTGGTAAAATGAGGACTTGCCGTATTCTACGGCACTAAGAAGATGGGCTAGGCCTCCCTGACGCTGTCGATGTTCAAGTTACCACCTCACCTGACCCTTGAACAGCTTGAAATAATATCGTTTCGTATTGAAAAGTGAGAAAGGCCTTCAACTAGTGTCATTTGCAAACGCTCTTGTGCGTTTACTAACGCATTAATTTACACAACCTTGACTGCTCGTTCTTCCTCATGTCTGTATTACTCAAAGTAATTAGAGCAAACGAATCCCATTTATTCCACGCCACCAGTGTTTGTCATTAGTCATCTGTTCTCGCTGATATCACCTTCACTATCACCACTGGCATGCACCTGTTACCACTCAGCCTGGCCACTTTCACATATGCCATTGCTATTTATCGCCCTTGTCCAACATTTCATTGCAAATTAATTAAGTTCGCACGCTTTTGTGGGAATGCAGACCTTGCTGTGACGCAAGTTGCAAGTGAGGGAAAGTTTTGTTTTCAAAGGCTAAGGGGATAGATTGCCGTTGTAAGAAAAAGCAGCAACTGCTCCCGGCCTCTAAACAAAGAGTATAGGTATCATAGGCGTCCGCTGGGATCTCCATCAAGAGAGCTAAGTTTCATCACACCCCCCCTTTTTCTGCTGCTCTTTATGTCGAATCCGAGTGTGAGTGAGTGAGAATTTATTAGAAGGCAGAGAGGTCGGCCTGAGCTAGTTCGCTCTAGCCTGCTACTCTACACAGGGGATAAGGGAAAGGGGAAGGAAAGAGGGATGAAGGGTAATGATGTCGAATTCGAAATAAAACACTCCGCAATGGAAGCGAAAACGAGAATGGAGTGGTGACGTACTTGCCACAACGACCATGTCGTTGGTATCCGGTAAACCGTTCTTTGAATGCAACATTTGAACTGCTCGATCACCATTTTCGACAAAAAAAAACAAAAAAACAGGGGTAGCCACATATGCGCTCACTAGAAAAATACATCAATGGTCCAGCTGGATAAAAATAGGTGGCTGCATTTTTTAGCGTCCCCCTTTATGAATTATTAGAGAGCATCTACCCCTCGGATTCCTTGCTATAGGCAACGAGAGGTTAAGATTTGAAGGACTCCCGAGTGAGCGGGAAAATAACTACTCTGTCTCCCCTGCAGGCGCTACTAAGAATTAACTTTACTACACTTCATTATGAATGAAGACGCTACTGCTCGAAGCGAGGTTGCGCGGCAACGAAGTCCAGGGTTTCGGGCTCGCAGAGCGGCTGCAGCATGGCGACACAAACAAATGGATCCAGATTCGCGGGCACGCAACTAATTGTAGAATAAAGCAAAGCACAGTGATTGAGTCTCTCCTGTGCCCTTTAATCCCTGTGCGTGACACCAGGCAATGCTAATCGTCATAACAACGAGTGAGAACGAGTCCAAATCGTCATAAATGAAGTTATCACCACGTTTTTGCATGTTTATTTTTTGAAAGCTTCTTATTTTTTGCAGAAGGGTAGTTTTTATTCATTTGCATTACCAGTGATATCGCCATTATAAAACTTATAAAGCAAGGAGTCCGAGGTGTAGTCCACTGTACGATCGCGGGGTAATTATCTCATGAAGATTTACGCAATATCAGTTGTCAAATTAACTCGCCAGTAATGAATACTGCCGTTTACAGGTTGCCTCGTTTTTTTTTTCTTGTGTTTGTTGCCCTTGCGCTGTACGTGACGACTAGCACGATTTACCTAGCAGCATTTCTCTCGTACATAGTGTGAACGGCATTTTGGCACGCGCTGGTGTTAGGGTGGCCTAGTGAAATCTGGCTGCATGCACCACTTCAATGCACGTATTAGTATCACGTCGCGTGAAAGCGTACGCTGCTACCGTCATATGCCCAGCAGGATGGAACTACTTCAAACTGTGCATGAACTCCGTCTTCTGGACACTGTCCAATCGCGCTTTTCCGACCTCGCATACGAGGAAAAAAAAATCTCTCGGGGATCTCGAACAAGGACAAACGTTCAAGTGTGCAGCATTACAACTTCCTTTCCCACGTATAAACAGGTCGTTCGAGCAGCCGTGGTAACATTGCATCATTTTCACGACTCGCCGATTCTCAGGAACGCGTATTTTCATCGCACATTACACGCCCCCCTCGCCGGTGATTCAGCAACGCGTTTGCATAAACGGTAGTCCTCCATAGCGTTAGTTGCTTTGTTAATCATCATGCCACTTACCGGAAAACACAAAACACCTACTTTTATCATTTTCGGTAAACCACCTGCTCCACCGAAATTTCCGGGAGAGGGCTAAAGCACCCCCCACCCCTTACCCTGGCTACGGGCCGGCCAATGGCTGTTAACGCCCACAAAATCAAATAGAAAAGACCATATACCCAGCTTCAGTATTACCTAACTAAATATATGTAATGCACTTTGAGTGAGGTTCTTACATTTAGACAATACGGTAAAGAAAGTTCACTTGAGATAAACTCTCAATGAGTGTCTGGCAACTGACATAGTCTTTGAATAGGTAGATAAATTTAGATTATTGTTCCCCGCAACGTTATCACTTTCAGTGTCTTTCGTTTAGAAGCCTCTGACAATGCCGTAGATCTATAGATGTTAACCGTTATACATGCGGGGTATAGCATCCCACACACTCCTCGCTGTGATTCTTTTTTGTAAATATAGGCTAACTTTTTCACGTTGTAAAATGTTCTGTCTGTACGATAGTACAATTTCATTTTTCTTTCAGTGTGTGCATCCATGCTGTACCGAATAGGTTATATGATATAATTCTGTCTGTATAATTTTGTTTGTCTGACATGTGATGTACATTGTATGATGCAGCACATACACAAGGAGCAAATTTGTATACATCTTCCCTGATATTTTCATCAATTATTTATTTTTATTATTTTATCTTTTGGCATTAATAGTGTTATGGTTGATGGATTTTTGTTTTGTTTTCTTCCTTTATTTTTTTTAATTTTTGCTCGCGTCCATGTAATCTTCTGGGCTATGCTGGTATCAGGATGTTTCGTAGGAATGTATATATATGTTTTTATTACACCGTATTTGGTATTGTTATGTTAGCTTATGGTCTTTATTGTTACAAACATCTTTGTCATTGTCCCCCCTGCCTTGTATAGGGTTCACTGGCCTCGTCAAGCTGTCCATAAACAGCTTTTAGCCAGTGAATCCTCTCCAGAACCTGTTTCTTTCTGGGAAAATAAAATGATTTATTAATAATAATAATAATAATAATAATAATAATAATAATAATAATAATAATAATAATAATAATAATAATAATAATAATAATAATAATAATAATAATAATAATAATAATAATAATAATAATAATAATGTACAGTTACTTTGCCCCGCTGTGGTGGTCTAGTGGCTAAGGTACTCGGCTGCTGACCCTGCATTTCCGATGGAAGTTGCATCTCCGATGGAGGCGGAAATGCTGTAGGCCCGTGTGCTGAGATTTGGGTGCATGTTAAAGAGCCCCAGGTGGTCGAAATTTCCCGAGCCCTCTTCTACGGCGTCTCTCATAATCATATGGTGGTTTCGGGACGTTAAACCCACTACTACACTATGTGGGGTTTAACGTCCCAAAACCACTATTTGATTATGAGAGACGCCGTAGTGGAGGGCTCCGGAAATTTCTACCCCCTGGGGTTCTTTAACATGCGCCTAAATCTGAGCACACGGGCCTACAGCATTTCCACCTCCATCGAAGATGCAGCCGGCGCAGCCAATCAAAATAAATGTATGTATAGTCAGCCTTAATTACATGAAATTGTTTCCTCAAAAATTTTTTTTGGAGGGGGGGGGGGGAGTCGGTAACTGGAATTGAATTTTTGAAGGAGCTTCGCTGTCTTTTTTCTGATTGTTTTCAAGTTTCCGGGACCGTGCAGTCTGAATGCGCTAAGAACATTCCACTAAAGCTGTTTGTTCGTGGCCAGTACAGTTGTGTTCTTGCAACCACAATGTTGCTTCAGTTCGTGTGGCTAAATATCCCATTGTTCATGTGGCTAAATATCCCTAAATATCCCAAAGTGAAACGAGCATTTCACTTTGTTCGCAGACGTGTACTACGACGAAGACGTGAAGAAGATAAAGGAGAGCGATGATTTCTGCCGGAAGATAATCGCCCACGTGCGGCTCGACATGGACTTGGCGCACAAAGTAGCCGCATACCATCTCCGCTGGAGGCGATATGTCAAGATTCAAGGTGAAACTATCGTCCTGTTTTCTTACTTCTATTGTTCTAATCTGTCCCAATAACCAGCCAATAACTTATGCGTAAGCGGGCATGGTGGAAGAAGGTTTGAGAGGGGGCGTTCTTGTAAATATACAGGAGATTTCGGCTTTTGGGGAAAAGGGGTGCAAAAAAATTTGGTGTGTGCGTGTCGTTCATGCGGCTTTCTTTCTTTCTTTCTTTCTTTCTTTCTTCTTTCTTTCTTTCTTTCTTTCTTTCTTTCTTTCTTTCTTTCTTTCTTTCTTTCTTTCTTTCTTCTTTCTTTCTTTCTTTCTTTCTTTCTTTCTCGTTGCGCAACACTCCCTTCTAACTGCTTCCTTTCTCCATGCTGGAAACAACACTTTTTTCCCCGTGCTCAGCTGCCCTGCACACTTTAGTTGTTACAGACAATAATCAACGACGGCCATGCGTTCATATCAAGACAAGCATGAAATGTGGCTTCGTGAAGTGGCAAGTAACCTCCATGAAAGACCCGATTGTCAAATCGGAAACAGCTGATCGCTGACAAGCCCACGGCCGATACAGCAATTATTATTGGCAAACGGCACGTGCAGATACGCGTGGGACGGGCGCACATATGAGGGTCGAATTTCTTTAAGCTCGCCTGTGCTGGGTATTGAACGTTCACTGCCACCGGAACTCTCGGTTTGTACCCGCCGTCGACATCTAGGAAATTTCGGTTTTTAGCGAGACGGCTCAGTGCTACTCCCATAGTTGAGTACCAACGTTAGTTGGTTGAGTACAAAGTACTCGAAATCGTTAAACATTTTAGGGGCGAAGCTCCTTATTGACGTGGCTTGTGCGTCCCTCGTAGTACGTAACCACCAGTGGCACATACCCGAAATAGCGGTCCTTACGATTTGACCTCCAAGGTGGTTCCGGTGAGAGATTTCTTCTGTGCGTTGTTGAACAATAAAAGATAGTGCTCAATGCACATGTTAATGGCTGCTAAGGGGGAATGAGAGACAGGAGCATTCAGCCTTTAGGTAACGCGCACGCTGCGATCCCCATTAGCAGCTATTGGCATGTACTTTGAGCACGATCTGACAAGAAAGGGTTGCTTCGTTATACTCGCTGGGTGTAACCTCCTTGGTTTTAGAAAGGTTTAGCGAGCGTTAGGCCGCATAGCCATGAATACAGTGAACTAGTATATACCATGAACTCGAGGTGGTTAAAGGTGGGAAGTAAACCCGAAGCGCAAGCCGTAAGAAAGTGCGCATGTGTCACCTCCCGTTTAGTCCTTGAAATGTCCGCTGGATGGCGGTGCTTCTATATAGAGAATATATGATGAAAAGATGCGAGATGGTGGTACTTGGAGTGCTGAATAGATGGACGAACGGACACACAGACAGATGCATGGATGGACGCATGAGCGGACGCAGGCGTGGATGCATGGATGAACGCAGGGACGGACGCACGAACAGACGCACGCACGGATGGGTGGATGGACGCATGGACGGTTACACAGGCGTACGCAGGAACGGACGGAAGCAAGAACGAATGGACGGACGAATGCTTCGCCCCACTCCCCATCATTCACTCCGTGGATATGCTGCCATTTTTTTTTCTAAAGACAAACTTGAGAGCTTGTGCTGCGTCAGTTCTTACGTGTACAAAAAGAGTGGTGGCGAGCTTTAGGCTGAGCGGAGCTCGCCTATACGGTGCCAGCCGCTGTTTGCAAACATAAAATAGGTGTATCAACGTATCGCTTCTAAGCAAATTGCACACGTTCTCTTTTTTTTTTTCTTTCGGTGCGAAGCCCCTTGGGCGCCAGGCATGTTAGAGTTTCCTTTCGTGACGGTGTGTCGAGTAATCACAGTTTGTTATTAAGTTAACTTCACGTAATGACGTCATCATAGCGTCATTACGACACACAAACTTTGTGACACAATTTCGGTGCAGTCATGACGTGGTGAAGCACCTTATATAGAGTCTCGTCTTGTTGGTGTCTTATGTCGTCACAATGTGTCCTGTGGCCCCGAGTCATCCTAATGAAGAAAACTAGAATGCGCCACAAAATTTGCGTAAAACTCACTACTCGTATACCGCTGCCCTAAAAGGGAAGACGGCGAACAGTGAGTCCAACAAATAGCTGAAACAGCCTTCCCTACAGACCGTAGGGAACTGAAACTGAGCATGCGGGAAAGTAGAAGAGCACTGCATGCACTTCGCCCCTCCCAGGTTACAGCTGAAGCCCTTTCCCTGCAAGCTTCTACCCTTTCCCCCCCCTTTTTTTTTCATCCGCGGTTAGGTATTCTTTTTCCGGTAGCGCTTTCCTTGTGGTCGCATCTTTCATGGTGCTCATTTCGATTCCTGCCAGTGGCCGAGAAACCACTGCATGCGCGTAAAAACGTGACGCGCTTCGCAATAGTTGGGCGCGCACACCTTACAAGGAACAGCGCACGGAGCTATACTGCGTCAGAGCTCGTCGAGAAACGCACGTAGAACGGCCTTGCCTGTGCCCGCCGACTCGTCCACTCCTTTTACCGGAGCACGTGCCTCTAGATTGCACTTTGTAGAACTGACCTTGAACGAGGAAAGTATGCGGCCTCCGACGGTTAATACCTGACGCGATCAAGCGCAGCATGACTAAGCATAGTCATTTTTATTCCGCACTGCACAAGTACACTGAAGGCGAGCCCCTCTTATTCTTTTTTTTTTCATTTTGTGGCGATTAAGATCGGGAAACGTTACTTCGCCATATTTTTTTCCGCTTCGAATGATGGAAGAGAATTATCCTGCATCGGAGATCGCCGGTGTTGTTAAAGCACGGGATGAAGCGAAACGGACGCACGCTTTCAAGGCCGCGGCCCCCACTGGGTTCACTGCGCTCGGCCAAGAGCGCTGAAGGACAACCTGTCGAGCCGACCGATAACATCGGCCAGATCACCTATGCTGCGAATAAACGTGAGGAAAAAAAGTGATATACTTCGTAAATTTAGCGCCGACCCTCGATGCGAAGATCAACTGGCGGTGCTTGATCTATCTGCAAGATTATGCGGAGCTGTTTCTGAAATGATTTCTGTTACGCCTGCCACGACGGCGACAAGCAGAAAGCAGAAGTGCACGACTATACCAAGGTTTCACTGGATTCGATGAAAAATGGCTACCGTAAACAGAGGCAAGCGCAATCTGCCAAAGATTACAGCGTATGGTGGAGTGAGTGTAACTGGCGCAGCCTTCTGATCACATTATTCCTAGCCAGTTTTGTTGCTCAACGCGCGCAACGATGCACGAAAAAAGAAAACGCCTAACAACGCCTTGTCGAAATCAAATAGTTTCTATAGATAACGTCCAGTCTGATTCGCGACCGGTGAAATCGGGAATTCCTCAGGGCTATGTGCTTGGGCCACTTCTTTTTTTAGTTTTTATAGACGACATCGCCAATGACATCCCGGTTTCTATCAAGTTATTTGCAGATGATTGCATTCTTTATCAGGAAATACGTAGTGCAGACGACCAGGTTCTTTTAAACGCAGCGTTAACAAAAATATCTTCTTGGTGTGCAGTGTGGCAAATGAAGATTAATGAAAAGAAAACGGTTGCTATGACCGTTACGCGCAAGCGGCTTCCTCTGAAACACTCGTATTCCATCAATGGTCAAAAACTATCGTTTGTTAAAACTTATAAATATTTGGGGGTTGTATTAAGTGCAGATTTTAAGTGGAATGAGCATGTTGCCTACATTGAAAAGAAAGCTTTACAGAAACTAGCATTTCTAAGACGTTCTTTGCGCAAATCTACACCAAAATTAAAATTAATTGCGTATAAAACTTTTATCCGTCCGATCCTCGAGTACTCATCTGTGGTTTGGGACCCTCATAGCCAAGTGAATAGTAAAACACTTGAAATGATTCAAAGAAAAGCAATCTGATTTGTATATAATCGTTACAGTGTTCTTACGTCACCCAGTGAACTGTTAAAAAAAGCTGACTTGGATACATTGCAGGCAAGACGGCAACACGATCGATTAAAGTACATGTTTCTGCTTTACCACGACAAGCTACGCATAAAGCACGCGTACATAAAAATGGTTCACCGCCGATCAACTCGTTCCGAGCATCCAAAAAACTGAAGGAATATTCCTGTCAAACAAAAGCCTTTAAAAACTCATTTTTTTCGCGCACTGTCACTGATTGGAATGCTCTTTCTGCCGATCTGGTGAACTGCGAGACCGTTCAGTCGTTCGTGGAAAAACTTAAACACCAGCAACCCACTTGACTTTGATCTTTCTTTGCGCTTCGCCCTCTATTATTCCACCGCGCATCCTGAACAGGCTTCCATTTATGTTCCACTTTCTATCACTTTTTTCATATCAATGCGTTGTATTTTTGAAATGTTGCCGATTTTTGAACTGTTATATGATGTTTGTTTCTTAGCTCTGATTGTACAGATGTTTGTCATCATAGTTTTTTTTTGTACGTGTACGCGTAAACCACTACAATTGTGTAAGTACTAACGTTTTACTTTGATGCACTAGTTCTTGATGATGTAGCTCTACGTGACGTGCTTCCTTTCCTGTTGTATCTTCATATGTTTCCTTTTTTGTATCACCCACCCCTGCCTAAGGCCTCATGTGTGAGGCTGGCAGTACTTCTGAAATAAATAAATAAATAAATAATAGGCTTTGCAGTGGGCAACGAATCGACACCGCAAGTGGTTCGGGGTTGGCGTCGGTAGTACCAGAGATGAGATTCCATATTGCTTCCGTGTGTAACACTCGTGTGAGACGTGCTCGTCGATTAAGTGGTTCAGGTTAATTCAAATATTTGGCTCGGATTAAGTAACAATGTTGTTAGGTTTATTCCGCTACCTTTGTTATTGGTTATGCTCCTCTGTGAGCGCTCGACTCGAAGTTTCATATCTACTCAAAGCTTCAAGCAAAACACACGTACCGCGAGCAATGGCAAGTAGTGATAAGTGTTAATGAATAACAAATACAATCAATCTTGCGCTGGAACACGCACGTAAAGATGAAAAATGGGGCATGTTTGATTACGCTCATGTTTAACAGCACGGAAAGACGCAAACAAAGGGAACAGATGAAACGGATGAATGAATGTCATGTAGCGTTCACGTCGATCCTACGGTCATGCAACAAACACGTGCAGGGTCATCCAAATGTAAGGTGAGCACTCTAATATTATTCAAGGCTTCATAAAAGCTTGCTTTCACACATAATTCGAAAAGTTATAAGGGTAATATAGTAACGTAATATAACAATATATAACGTAACGTATAACGTAATATATAACGTAATATAACAATGGTTTTTTTCGTGAAGCGAAATAAACGTTCTAGCTTTACCGGATTGAGTACCAACGAGGTCTTCACCTAAAATGTGGTCGACCCTGTACAAACATCTACAAATGTAAACATGATATTGAAAGACAAAACATGAATCCACAAATATATCTAAAAAAAAACGTATGAAACACTTTCTTTTTTAGTTCTTATCGTATTGTTTTTAGAGTGGGCACTGTGGAAAGGGGGCCATTAGTGATTCGTTTGAGAATTAACCCCATATGTCGCACAAATGACCACGAGTGATGTAAAAATGATTCCCGTTTGCAGATATCAAGGAGGAGTCGATACCTAAGGAGTATTTTGAGCAGAATGCAATCTACCCTTACGGCAAGGACAAGCTCGGATGTCACGTGTGTAAGTATTCATCCACAAAACTAAGGGCAAGCTAATTTTTTACCGCTTAGTTACAATATGTAGGGGTCATATGCAAGTATACTAACAAAGATGTTAGGAATTCTAAACTTCACCTTCGACGACAGAGTGGGCTTTACGGTTAAAACTGAAATTTGGGTTAGTTGGCTTAGACTTAAATGCATAATGTAGCGGAACAAGACAAGGACACAGAAAAATGCAGACGGGACGACCGCTAGACTTCAACCGAAATTTTTACTCATGACAAGTGACGTATAAAGTGAAGAAACAATTGAGCAAGATCGAAACTTACAGTGACGTCACCATTCCACCGTTAATGCGAGCTACACGTGCTAATCTACGCACCCTTCCATCGGCGAGATCCGTGAGGCCAGGTATATACAAACGGAGGTATAGATACGTGTGTGTGCCATCAGTTGTCCTAACAAAATAGATCGGCTTTTTGAAAGGTCGTGTGCGCGACACGTAGCTTGGCACGTGTAGCTTGCATTGATGGCAGAATGATGATATTATTGATTGATTGGTTAATTAATTAATTAATTAATTAATTGGTGAGTTCTAACTTTTTTCTGTTTTTCTACTTTAATGTCACGTTTCCAGAGCAAAATTTTCAGGTGAACCGGTCGTCCTGCGTGAATCTTTTTCTGTCCTCGTTTTGATCCGCTTTGTATTTAAGTGTTTTGCAGGTGTGCTTCACAAGTGTGTTACGCACCAAAGCACCTCAGTGCTTGGAACAGAACAGCTAAAACAATTTAAAGGTGTCTTGTCAATATTGCGAAATGAATTCTTAAGGCGTTAATAGGTTACAACACATGAGCGCGAAAAATAACGTATTTAGAGTAGGCGCGCAGTACACCTTGGCGCGGATAATTCATCCCGCGGTTCGTCTCTAAAATAACCAGAATGTTCTCCCTTCATGCTTATGGCACGTTGGAATATATATGATGCCCGTTTGGCATAGCAACGTCTTGATACACCTTGCGTTTTCTTAACCCACCAGTGGTGCTGCGATGCAAGAACTACACGAAGGGTCAGGCCGACGTGCTCGAGGTGAAGCGGGTGTTCCTGTTCTTCCTGGAAAAGCTGTACAACGAACACGGCGCCAAAAAGATCACCATGGTGTTCGACTGCAGTGGAGCGGGCCTTAGCAACATGGTACGCAGGTTTCGCTCGCAAACTACTTACCCATCTTTAACCAATCTTCGCTGTGCCAATGTAAGACAACAAACATCGCGGCTCGCACACTATATATAGGATGCCTCTTTCTTCCTGAACTGACTGCACAGTTTTAAGACCAACGCCTAGCTTGGCAAAGGCGGGGTCGCGGCTAGACCATTCTGGGCTGCTACGATGACCACCGCACACCACGTGACGCAACTCGAACTTTCTTGTTGTCTCACACGCACAGCACAAGTACCGCCACGATCGTGTCTAGCGTTTAACATATCATGTCATGCTTAGCAGCTTCCTCTTCATTACCATAGCAACATATGCTCTAATTCAACGAAAAGCACTCTAAATCTTCCAGCTATATCGTAGGAGTTTAACTTACCGATAACACCTTGATGCATCTTAAGAAATGAACGCAGCCAGCAGAAGGCTCGCTCGGTAGAAGCATAGCTGAGCACTGTGGCAGACAGAGACAAGGTGATTTAAGTGTGTGCGCAGTGAAACGCAAAAAGCACACTTCATCACACTTTCGTCACTTTTATTTTTTTAACTGCACGTTGCTTGACATTCGCGTGGAGTGCACGTTAAAGATCCCCAGGTGGTCTAAATTTCCGGAGCCCTCCACTACGGCGTCTCTCATAATCATATAGTGGTTTTGGGACGTTAAACCCCACATATCAATCAATCGATGACATTCGCGTGGAAAGATTTCCAATAGTAGCGTAATTTTCTGCAGCAATTGCAAGTCTTTCCCCTTTCACCTTCCCCACAAAAGATAAAGAAATGAAGAAAAAGCAGCAGTGGCAAGAAGCAACTATAAAATTACTGACATTCTCTGTCCCTTTGTTTAAATAAAGAAGGAGAGCTCCCACTATTCTATGCACCTACACCAGGAGTCCCGTCCATGCAGTAATCACTAGTCATCGATTTTTTCCATGAGGGGCCACTATGAATATGGCTGCAGTGACTCATTAGAAATTGTAGCGTGAAGTAACTGGCGTCAAAACCCTTGCTCACATCATTGGTGGATACGTAGTGGTGATGTGTCAGCAGTGGTCTTATCCAGTGCAATACGCTCGTGAAGGAAGTCACCCTCCGACGACATTGAAGCACATATGCATCTTATGCAGATCCTAATCCGTTTCAAAGACAAGTACACAGCCGGCCCTGGAGGCCTTTTAGATGAAGGAGACAACATCCCTCCTTGAGGTATACGTGTGATCTTACGTTGCAAGGACATCTCAATATGCAAAAAACGAAAACGCGAGATAGCAAGGCTCGTTTCAAAGCGCAAGAACCAAATCAAATGTTATAGCAGTACTTCGCCAAATGTTGTCAGACGAGTGCTGCTTAAAGTTAGTTCTGCTTGGACTTAAAGTTCAGCTGAACAACGCCGATGCTCGCGTAAGGGGCGCTCGCCTCTGTGTGTGACTGTCACAACTTTAATTTCCTCGTCAAGTGGGGAGGCTATAGTTTGTAACATTCGCGTATCACAATGGTGTGCCCTTGCACGTGGAAGGCGGTTGTCGACTGGCCTTCGGAGCAGCCATTGATTTCCAAGGCTTTGGAACGCTCACTATCTTCGGCATCAGTAACTCCCATTTCACAGGCGCTCATAGACCTATAGGAAACCTCAGTGCCTTTGTGTTTCCGCTTTTCGTGAGACTAAAGAGGGAGCAAGATTTCGTGCATACGGAACGCTTATGTTGCGGCTTCGAACTCCTAAACGGTTACGATACGAACGCGTAAACCAAGCTGTGCGTCATGTATAAACTAACCTTGGATCACTTAAAGCCAGAAATTATAGCGTTCAATTAACGCCCCCGAATTTCGCGGTTTTTTTTTTCCTTTTGCACCTCTTTTTTTTCGTAAAATAATCCTTTATCAAAAGAAGAATGAGCTCCATACGCTGGGTGGGACATACACGTAAATTACTTCACAGTGCATTTTAATTTATGCCTAACGTTTTGTTCTAACAACATGCGCTTTCGTGTGTGTCCAGTGAAATCATTGGGTGATTATTAGGCTAATGTATACGTAAAAAAATGAATCAAATAACGCAGTGTGCCTCCTATCGATCAACTGCTATTCGTGAAACAATCACGCTAACACCGGCTCCGGCTGCGGTGGTTATTAAGGCACGCCGTAAGTGACTCACAAATGAACCGTACTGATTTACGAGTCGTGTAATTTACGAACCATAAAAGTAACAAGAATCGTGCGTTTTCCACACGCGTACGACATACCGATAAGTTGTATTGCGCATTCACTGTGTTCAAAATATTTAAAGGCTTGCAGACATTGTATTTTGTATGTCAAAGAGAGTTACTTAGGCCTAGTAATTAGGCTGTGAACTGGCACTGGGGGCCAGGATCACTAAGGAAGAGTGGGACCGAGCTCTACGCAGCTCGGACCTTGAAGCACAGCTCTGGGCTGCCCACCGGGCCCGCGACGCGGCGAAGGGGCAAGGTCTATTTGTTCCGACGTGGGAGCGGCCCGCTAAACACAAGCACCGAAGGACCATAATAAAGTTTTTCATCCATCCATCCATCCATCCATCAATCATGAGGATTATACAGATGATACGTAATGAACAGAACGAGATATTTTAGTGAACTTTGTACCAGCGGCCTGATGACCTGATCACCCAATCATCTTTTTTTTTTAAATTCAGGCATTGGTTTCCTTTTTTGGCTGCGGCCGTATTTTAATGAATTGTAAGCTTCATCTATTTGACAGTCGGTGCAGGCAGAGAGTGTGCTATATTTGAAACATTACTTTCAATTACCTTTTTGTGGTGAGAAAAGAAAGTTATTATTGATTATGCTATAGGCTGGAGCCTTCTTGCAGCTGATGTCTCGCTTGCCTCGTTTTTCGTTTCAGGATATCGACTTCACCAAATTTATCTTCAATGTTTTTCTCAAGAGGTACCCACTGGGCCTTGGTGAGTCATTTTTTGAATGCACGAGTGAACATGAAACTCTGGAAAGCTTTTGCGAGAACGGCTACATCACCAGTAGCTTTCACAATACAGAGCTGATCTTAATGGTCAAAGGTCAGAATTTACAATGAAGTACGCGTGAACACCCGTTCTCAAAAAAAAAAACCAAAAAAGAGCAGATAGGACAGTGTTTTTTTTTTTTTGGCTGAGTTTGCAACCTTTCACGCAAGTTCCGAGAAAGCGGAATGCAGAGAAAGGGCTGAAATAAAAAATGCCCTTCTTTTCCTTTGACGTGTTTACTGTGTTTTGTCTGTTTGTTTTGTTTGTTTTATTCACCTAATTTGCATGCACCTGTTGGAGATTCAGAGGGGCTTTGTGCACACCCTTGCGAAAACTGCATGATCCTAGTAAATTGATTCTGTGCTGCGGAAACGCTGGAGAAAAAAATTTTTCTTACCGCGTTCTTTTGTTGCTCGCCGCTTAATACGGTGCTCAGTGAGCTTCTTATGTGCCAAGTGAGAATACGTAGAGCCTGCGTGTTCTAGGATCAGCACGGGAGATTTTTTTTTTCTTTTAGTGACAGTTTAACAGCACATCCTGTACTGATTACTGTGATAAAAAAAAGCAGCTGATATGACCCTCGTAGAGATAAAGACTCCTTCATAGTTAACTGTCCAAGCGCCGCTGTCCAAGCTGATAGCTGGACGTTTCGCACAACACAAATGCGAATGATTGCCGCTATTCGGGTGTTATTTGACGCCAATGGTACGTTTGGATTTGCTGTAGGCTTAGAGCTACAAACGGGTGGTTACTCATTTCTTTTTCTTCTTTGGTGATTCCGCGACTCTGTAGGATTTACCAGAACTGATTCACTGCAGATAGTTATACAAAAGCAAACAAGCAATAAACTATCTGCCACGAATAGAAAAAATTACGAAAAGAACGAGAGCTAATAAACAGTGTCTGAAAAATGAGCACGTGAGAAAAATAATATGGTCATATATTTTACAACAAACTAAAGCATTCAACAACTCTTCTCTTTCTTCAGGCTACGTTCTCGTCTACGACATGCCCTGGTTGTTTAATGGTGAGTGTTCACTCTTGATATTTTATGCGCTGTTAATCCTCCCCACTTGTTCAACCACAGCAGTGAAATCGCCCGAAATTTTAGCTAGCGTGCGCAGTGGTCAGTTCTCTGCATGTATCAGCGCCTTATAATGATGGAACGAAATGGCCAAAAGAAAGTGGTTGGTGGGCATGTGCTTTTTGGGTGCACTTGTCCTCATCCTTTTTGGGACTTAATTCGCTCATACGGTGAAGATCCCCCGTAAAGAAATTGCCGCTCGTGCGCGCTGGTAAGATTTGTGGTAAATCTTGGGGACCTTATATTAGAGCTCAGGAGCTGTTGGTCCATTAAGTCAGAGTGTATGCTGTAGACCCTACGAGCCAACATACTCGATGCATTATAATTGGCTTACAATATTTGTACTTTATTATCAGCCGCCTGGAAAATCATCAAGGGCTGGATGATGCCTGAGGCCGCAGCCAGAGTCAAGATGGTCGGCAAGGAGGAGATCAAGGAGTACATTGACCCCAAGGAACTCCCAGTACACATGGGCGGAACGGTCAGTATAACTATTGGCGCATGGGCTTCGGTTGGTGTATACAAAACAATACGAAAACTCTTCACTTTTTTCGTGTCGTTTAGCGTTATCTTTGGCGCTCTCAACGTTACACAGGCTATCTTTGCTGAGTGCCAATATCTTTCATATGTGCCCAACGTAACTTTTGTACTGCTAAGCAGAAACCGCCTGACGGTGAAAAGCACGGCATAGTTAAATAATGGCGGCTGATGCTAGGCACTGCGGAAATTGATGCTATAGAAAATATAGTAAGTTGAAGGCAGTGCTGCTGTCGTTGACTATGAATCAAGCGCTCTTACGGGGTGAACTCACGTTCCTTATAAATTGGATTGGTGTATTGGTGTGTGCGTGATGCGAACATATCGGGAGCGGCATACAAACATAAACTGTGGAACATAAAGGATCAGGAAAAAGTACATTCACGAAAGACAATCGTTGTTACCGTCTGGCCGCAGTTGTGTCATTGGAGTTAGGGAATTTACTGATTGACTTTTGCAACTAGTTCTAACGTCTTTCATCATCAACCCAACATCAAACATTAATCCTGTTTTTTTTTTCTAAGCAGGTTATTTTTTTCTCAATACAAATCGTTTTTTTTTTTCATTTTGGGTTTTGTTTTCGCACGCTGGTTCACACGTTAGCATGATCGCCGCCAACTGACCCTACTTTCATGTTTTTTTAAATGTTGCAAGTTCCACTCCGCTCAAGTAATGAACAAAGCCTGGTGAAACAGTGCACAAAATGACCGAGACCAAAAGAAAGGGTTTCGGTCTGGTCATAGGCACGACACACAAAACATGCATTCCGAAAGTTCTAAGCTAGGGAACGCAGTTCATGCCGCCCACTTCCGATAGAAGGCTCGCATTCAGACGTTTCTAGCGATTCGTGAATAAGGGAATAAGAATTGTCCGCGCCGAATAAGAAGCGGGGATGTCCATGTGTTCCTGCAGGATTCCTACGAGTACAGCTACGTCCCCGGCAAGCCGCTCGGTGAGAGAGTCTCTTCTTGAAGGATGGCCCGACGACATTTCACCTGTCCCACCTGAGACTTCCGATGGCGGGCGTATGCTGGACGCCGTACTAGAGATGAAGACATCGGCCACTGAGAGCTTGTTTTAGAAATGCTACTCTCACGAGATTCGGTTTCAAAGGCGCTTTTCGCTTGCGCACTGCTGAACACACACAAAAAAAGGGAGGGGGGGGGGGTCATTTATACGATGTATTATTGAAACTGCTCAAACGAAAACAGTGTACAGAAAGGTCACCTCTGACGAAAAGTAGGTTGCTGCTGAACAATAGAGAAATATACTTCCTGTTGTTCATTCTTAAAACTATAAATTTATCAATCCCACATTTACTGCCGTTTCAATTCTGGGAGTGGTTCCAGCGCCACGAAAAAATATATATATATATAAATCTCCACTTTAAATGGCAACGCAACGCTGCTTTGAAAAAAAAAAGAAAGAAAAAAAAAAGCTACTATTGGACTGCGTGTACATTTTACCGAAATGAAACAGCCGTCTTGGGCTCATCTTCTCTTCCTACGTTATGCTTACTGTCTTTGATATGATCAACGGCTGAAAATTTCGCTGTTTTCTCTCAATCGTTGAATATTAGGAGGTTTTTTTCTTTCTTTTTTACTGTGTATGTCTTTACGTCGATTTTCTGAAGCGCGGGCTTTAAGGGGAAAAAAGCAGGATGACCTCCTTTTGTTATAGACGTTTCTAAGATTTCGTGAAATCTCAAAATATGTTAACATGAAGCACTACACGTGCAATGCTCAGCGCTGTGATAAAGACTATAAACTGCCATCCGAAGAAATAAAAAAAAACATAAATCGAGAAACAATAGCTAGCCGTAGCTGCTTCTTTTATATTATTTTTTTTTGCTTGCGCGCATGTATTAAACGCGACCTATACGTACTTCTATTTTTTCTGTTGTGAATGGCTACTTCAACTTGATAGCGACTGAGTGTCGACAAATAGAAAAGCATTGAAGTTGATAAAAAACTTATTGGCATGAAATAAATACCAATCGAGTGCAAACGCTGTATAGTAATATATTGCAAGCACTGTATTGTTAATTTAACGTTTAAAATGAGTGTAAAAATAAGTTTGCTACCTAAAATATTTAACTGAAACAGCTGGAAAAATCCACCCTTTTGTTTTAGATTACAGCAGCATCAAACGACAGTGAGTCGAGTATGCTTAAGTGTATGATTCTATGTAAATATATTATATATTTTCTGAATTTCCTGAACTCATTATTCCTGAAATTGACTTTTGCACTGCAGCGTTCTTCTGTAAAAAAAAAAGCCTTTCGTACGAGCATTCCGTCTTATGCGAACCACATTGTTGTTTTGCTGTTAAAAATTTTAATCAATATGCAGACATTCATTATGTCAAATCAAAATAGGTGGCAGTGGGCTCCTGAAGTTGTGATTGTGTATAAAAAATATATTTTATATCAGAAAATAAAAAAAAAACTTTTCACTCGTGCATTGTACCTGGCTTAATTCTGTCGATGTCTCGGATCTTTGGCGACATGCAAATGTCCGTTACTTGTTGAGTGTGGCAGCTCACAACCATGTAGCGTAAAGCTGAGTCTTGGGGAGCAACCTCCCACAATTAAACAAAAAAAGTCGTGAATTCGAGACAACGCCATCGCTGAAAGCAGCGTACGAAATGAAAACATCGATAACGCCGAGACGCATAGTTATGCAATAATGTACGAAGCAGGGATGCGTGAAATATAAATCAACCGAAGGTTTCACGTATGGGGTTGTTCCAGATGTCCAGATTTTAAATAACGCGTCTTGTTTAGTTTCTTCCGTTTATTTGTTTTGTTCTTTACGCGAAACAGCCGTGCAAACAGATGTGACTACGTTAGCGTACACTTTATATGCGGCACAAGTATATGATCCATTCCGGCGTGGAAATCGCCCTTTCCCCGGTAATGTCTGTCAACTGTCATGCCAGACGACGCTTCACGAAAAAAAAAATGCTTGAAAAAAAGCGTGAAGAGAAGAAAAACGAGGAAGCAGATATACAGTCCGTCGCTTGTCATATAATGTCCGGACATTTTCACGTGAACGAACGTAAAGATGTCACACGAGGCAACACGTCATGTTATACGCCCGGTAAAACGACTACTGTATTTGTGGGTGTCTCGTGTGAGCCACCAGTTGCGTCATCAGGAGAGGCATCACCCACGTCTTCCCCTTGCTCCGAACAGGAAGAGCATTTCTGTCACTTTCAGCTGGCAGCAGCAGCCGCAGCAGCTGCTTACGCCATTACATGCAGCCCAAGGCCCAATGGCTGGCCTGGCCTCAAGTAACAGGCATTATCCCCTACCGTCTTGCGTGACGAACTCACCCGAATATGCAATGCTGCGGTAAAAAAAAAAGCTTACGCAAATACAAGAGAACGCTGCGCCTACAAAAAGAACAGCAGATTCCCACGATTTTAATATGGCGTCCTTGGATGACAAGCGCGCGCGACACATTATCTCTGAAGCCTTCTAGCTCCCAGACATCCAATGTAAACGTGGGAGCTGCTGAATGGAAACACAATTTGAATATAGTTCAAATGAACAGAGATAAAGTGCCTCGAACACGGCCGGCCAATACGAGGACCTGCCTTTATCAAAAGCACATTGCATATAGTTCAAATGAACAGAGATAAAGTGCCTCGAACACGGCCGGCCAATACGAGGACCTGCCTTTATCAAAAGCACATTGCCATCTTTGGCGGGTTAGTTTAAAGCGGGTTCATTGATGACGTCTGTCACTCGGTCTTCCAACTGACGCGCTTAAATCTAACATGTCAGCGTGTTCTACATCGGGCCACTTTTTATTGCGCCTTTCCTGGGGTCAGCCAATTGATTGATAGGTGGGGTTTAACGTCCAAAAATCACCATATGATTATGAGAGACGCCGTAGCGGAGGACTCCGGAAACTTCGACCACCTGGGGTTCTTTAACGTGCACCGAAATCTGAGCACACGGTCCTACAGCAATGGAGTCAGCCAAGTAAACACTGCTGCACTATACTGACAAAATAGTCCGCAACCGACCTTACTGAACGAGAGGCTGGCCGAGTCGACGAGGGAAACATTCGGACAATAAGCATAAAATCCTTAATTTTGATAAAGTAACCACGCGCTCGGCGCACATTTATCGCAGTGAGCTTATTACAGTACTGGTTGCAGCGGTGGTGGTGATGATACAAGTATGGCTAGCCAGGCGGAATTCTGCCCTTTCTGGTTACGCTGAGTAATTTCTCGGGGAGCTCAACCGGAAAAGAGCGCATCAAGGGGGTGGGGGTGGGGGGAGACATACGTTATACGTGGCTGCGTATGTAAGCCGTTTTCCGGTGTGCTACGCTTCCCTGTGTGGGATCTACTCAACAAGGCAATAGTACAAGAATTGACAATGACTCATTGACATGTTGGCCTCTAATAAAGAGCATAGGCAAAATAAATGGGGAGGGGGGGAGGGAGGAAGAGGGCGAACGACAGTGTTGGTGCTGTTGTTTGTCTATTTTTTATTTGTCTAGGTACTTCATTAGCGGCCGACTTGTTATGCAAGACAGAAAAATCACCCCAGATTCACAAATCGATCAGCACGGGGATCATAATCAATGGAGGGTGGGAAGGAACAGGGGTTAATCCCCTCCTTCCCTACCTCGCCCGGTGAAAACTGCTGGACTTTAAATAAAGTTCATTCATTCATTATTATTATTAATCTATTTGATACCTTAAGAGATTAAGAAGTTTCCGGGTATAAATTGGCAGCAGCAAGCACAGGATCGGGTTAACTGGCGGAACGTGGGAGAGACCTTTGTCCTGCAGTGGACGTAGTCAGGCTGATTATTATTATTATTATTATTATTATTATTATTATTATTATTATTATTATTATTATTATTATTATTATTATTATTATTATTATTATTATATATTTATTACCTACAGCCCTTATACAAGCTATAATGCAGAAGGGGGTGTACGAAAAGCTAACGAACATGAAGATGCAACTTTACTTAACTTATGCAAAAATGAATAAAAATGTTGATAACTTTACGCCGACACAAAACATACACAGCTACATCGAACACAACTACATAACGAATGACGTATGTATTGTGAAAACGAAAAAATCAGAGAGCACAATGATAAAGGTTAATGCCAATGCGAACAATAACTACAACAAAGCGAGACAGCACTAAATTGTACCGCACAAGATGCAACGGATGCACATGGTTTACAATTGAGATACGGCACTTCCCTCACCTTGAAACTTCTCGTGAGCGTATCGAATCCCTCACCTTAGGGGGAATGCCTTCCTTCGCTTATAGCTCATTATCTTGCTCTCAAAGGCCATCTATATGCGTTATCTGAATAACTTCCTCTTAGTACTGGCGAGTGCCACTTACCTTCGTTTCTCCCTCTTTGACCCATACTGTTTTCCGCCCATGTCTTAGTGTGAAATTCCGTTATTAAAGTGAAAACCTTAGGCGCCTCATCAAAGGCGGGAATTGGCGGCCGACTTCCCACGTCAGGGGCGCTCGCACAAACGTTGCGAAGAATCAGAATTAACGTGATGACGTCTCCATATGTTGTCATGACGTAACGGGAGGTCACGTGATGGCGCCATCACACGACATCGTCGCTTGGCTAGAGGTGAGCCGCCCATCTCGGGGGCAATGCAGAACCAGGTGAAGTGCAGACAGATTGCAATGCCTTCGATAACGGAGGCAGTGCTGAACCACTTTAGGCGCAGAAACCTTTCGGAGGTGGGAAGGGAGATTCAGTACATTGACTCAGATCAAATGGAGACTTACCATCACGGTTGTGGGTGCCTACCTCTCTCCGTCAAGTCGTTTCGACCATACAAGACTACAAGGTATCCTGTCAGCAACTTCTCACCCATGCATTATAATTGGCGACTTCAACGCCCGTCATACAATCTGGGGAAGTTCGAAGACCAATGTGAAAGGGAGAAAGTTGGTGTCCTTCGTCTCCGACAACCAACTTTTCTTGCTAAATGAAGGCAGTCCAACTTTCCTACGTGGTTCAAGGTATAGCAGCTGCCTTGACCTGGCCTTTGTCTCACGAGGCCTCGTCAGGCATGCTGAGTGGTTTCCAGACATAGAAACGCATGGAAGTGACCACATTCCCACTTACGTCAAA